ACCCTACGTAGATCATACTTTAAAAGATATAGGCAGACAAAGATAGGCCTACGTAGAAATTTAAGTTTAGGTTTTCAGACTATGTCGCGTGATAGAATTCTATTTACGGGATTTTATGTAACTTAAAAAAAAATATTAAAAGTATGATTAGTAATCCGGAAGCCAGCTGTTAGAAAATGAGCGTTATGTTTAGTTGGATTATTTGGAGTCACTAAAACCGTTTACTTACTGAAGATTCTGTATAGGCCTACTTAGGCCTGGTCAAGCATCGGGTCTAAAAATAACTGAGGATTTCAAAGCAACCTACAGCTCAGTTTTGAACAATGTGGATTCAAAAGAGGACAAAAATACTGAAAATTATATCTTAATTCATAATAACTATGAAATCGATTTTAAGTCCATCTTTCAAACGAACCTCACATCTGTCCAATCAGAACAGTGCCAGGAATACGCGCTTGTCCCACAAACACGTGTGTTGTTTCACAATGCAACGTCATTGCAAACAACAGTCAGGCACACGTAGATGCCTTTTGGTAATCGTTATTTTACTGTGTTATGTGCATTATAATTTGTAGTTGAGACTATACCTGAAATAAATATGTTTGAAAAGTATAAAAGGGATATTATAATATATTCAAATAACAATAACCAAAAATATTAATTATAAGAATTTGAAATAACTTACTTACAAGCAAAATCTAATAAGCCTCCAGTAATCCACAAAATATTCCATCTGATACTAGAATATTATTAGACTATTGTTTTGAAAATTTTAGTATTTCAGTGTTTAATGTTTTAGTGTTATGTCAAAAATCCAAATAACACTCTTTTTATCTATGTACGTAACAAGAGCTCTTTCAAGATTGTAGACCTACATGATATTATTAGCAATTACATAAATCATTTCATCCATTACCCTTTTTCGAATTTTTATCAACTGTCTCGTTTTAGGGAACTGCCATTCTTTATACAAATACATAAATTTTGTTTTTGTGCATGTATTTCCAGAAGGTGAATCTTACTAACTTACTGTATTACATACTTCCTACTTCTGCTTCATATAATTACCATACTGTATCCTCTTACTTTACTGTTTTATCATTTTTTGTTATTTTTCCCCCATTTTATCCTCTCATTTTATTGAGTTTATCTTTCTGTATATATATATATATATATATATATATATATATATATATGTATATATATATACAGTATATATATGCATATATNNGTATATATATGTATATATGTATATATATATATACTGTACGGTATATACATATAATATAATATAATATAATATAATATAATATAATATAATATAATATAATATAATATAATTCAAATACGTAAGATGTTGACTTTAGAAACACTAAAATTTATTTGGCGAATATTTCGGCTACTCCCGTAGTCTATGTCAACGCTTGACATAAAATGAACATATTGAGAAATTATCTTGGTAATATACAATTTGAGAAACAATACGGTAATTAAGTCAAAGCAATGGATTTTAAAACTCAAAACACACACTCACGGCCTCAATAAGGACTTGGGATTCATCAGTGAATTTTCCTTCTGCCGCTAAATATTCTTCTCTTAGTTTTCGGTCACTTTTAATTATAATTTTATTACTATTTATTCTGGTTTTATTATTATTATTATTCTGTTAGGCCTATTCATTATATATGATTGTTGGTATTTTCACTCTAGCTTATAAGATGTGTATAAGAGACAGAATTTATAGTGGCCCCTTACATTTCAATCCTCAAAAAACCCATATATAGCCCATAATGTAAACCTAAGGGGCAAAAATATATTCGTTAAAGGGCCCATAAATTAATTTGGGTCAACTTTATCGGGCCCATATGGATTTAGGGATTTAGGTTGCACCGGCAGCTCTTTCCCATATGGGCCTAAATTTTTGAGGTTTTTCCCATTTGCCTTTCAAACTTGCTATTGTTTTCTTCTAAGTGTATTGACTTTAACATAGACTTATACTGTTATTTCCCACAGTTTTTTTTTTAATCTTTGATCTTTTGTCCTTTCACACTGTTTACTAAGAGTGCTCTATTTCGGCATACCAGTAGAATGCTTTGTACACCGTTTTTGGTTGTTGTAGGACCGCCCTCATTATCTCAGTTGTAATTTATAGTTGTTTTTTTCCCCCAATTGTACAGTCTCCTGAAAAGTTCACCGTGTGGACGAAAGCTAGAGAATAAATTCTATATTGTTAGTCTCAAAAGTGCTGCTGTCATTTACTTTATATTGTTCTATAACAGACTAACGCGGCTACACTTTTTTATGTATTTAAATATACGGTAGTTGCCTTTGCCAGAGTATATTTTGGAAATATATCGGAGCGCCTAAAAGGGAAGTTCTAAAGCTCTCTACATAATGTGAATTACTAAATGTAATTAAATATCAATAATATACTGTTGATTTTGATCATAGGTGGTTTATTTTTCTTTATATTAGAAACACAGAAAGTTTGTATTTATATATGAAATTTATTATCGTCAGGAAACAATATTTGAAATAAATATTAAAGAATGTTAATACCCATTATACATCAATTAAAAGGTTGGCAGACATTTGGTAACCCGGTCGTTTCGTAACTCTGCCACGGACATTTCGTAACCATAGACATTGCCGGTTACGACATAGTTTTGATCACTTCTTAATTATTTATTTTAGGCAAAACATTAAATATACATTATAACGTACGCCATAGGAACGCCTATATGTTTTCAGGTTAAACCTACAAAAAAAGTATTTTTTTATATCTTTTGCCTCTCCAAAATTATGGAACCTTTTTCCACCTATACTTCGATCAACTTTTGATATTGATGCATTCAAGGACCTCCTTAAGAATAATCCCTTTAATCAATAATTCTTACCGTATATCTTTAAGCGCCTGTGACGAGTATTTTTTTTCTTAAGGCGCTATACAAATTCTTCAATTTATTATTATTACCCCTATCGATCCCAGTCCAGTGGCGTATCTTGGAATCTTGAAATACAGTAGGAGGGGGAGGGAGATGATGGGGACACGAAGGGGAAGTTGGGGTGGGGGAGGGGATTAATGATTAAGTGAGCGGTGCCAGCTCACAAATAAGGTGATTTGATCTAATTATGTAATTATGTAAATTAGTCCGTTTAATAATTAAAATGTATACTGTATAAATCTTCATATTAAAATTTAGAATTAAATCATCCTTTACGTAAAATAATTATATTTTTCTATATATTAAAATTACTTATTATGTATTTAAATATTATAATATTTCGTTTAATTATTGTAAAAAATCCAAAAATATTTCTTCTTGTTATTTCTGATTGTTAGATTTATATTCATTTTATGGACCATTTGTTAGAACATAGTTTTTATGAAAATGTTATCCATGTAAAATATGTTTATAAATAAATAAAAATAAATATATTTGTTTCTACACAACTTCAATGTGGATGGGGAGTGCGACTGGGCTCAAGGTTGTTTTTAGAGGCCGTACCATTTAATCGACAAAAATTTAATCAACCTTCACCGATCCCTCTTCACCATTATTATGGTGATTAATATGCTTACCCACTCCCTTTCAAATTCTAGCTGCCTTGTATGTTTGAAGATGACCTCAAGATTTTTAAATTTTTTTTAAATTACTGTACTAAGGACTTCAAGCAAACCACGACACATGTTTTTTTTTTCTGCTGATCTCTCTAAAGTCCTAGAAATACAAAGTCTTGTCTTGCTCTCGTAAGTTGTTTTCCTTATTCTATTCAAGGTTTTGATTTGCAAAATTCAACAGTAACGGAAGTTCAATTCGATAACAGAATTGAAGCGATATGAAACTATATAATACTTGTATGCAGCTTAAACTATGATGGGTGCGTAAAGTGCAATAAATAAGCAATTCCAAAAATGAGACTTAAAAATTATAAAAAATTATTTTATAATTAAAATATTAATTTCAAAAAGTTAAAAATCTTTGATGGACAGTTTTTCAAAGTCATATTTTTAGGTTTAAAGTTAAAATGATTGTTGAAAAAATTGCCAATATTCTGAATTAATAAATAATACAAGTTTGAAACCCCTTCGAGAGAAACATGAACTACGTTCAATGGAACGAAGTTGACTTGATTCAAGCACGAGAAGAAATATGTAAACTAAAAAAAAGAACAGCATCCAGAATTGAACAGACAATTAGCTCTTTTGTACAAAAACATTAAATTCAACATGCTTTCCCAATCTACGGGGTTTAACACCATAACATAGGAAATTCTAAAGAAATCTAACAAATGTGTTTAGGACTCGTTGAAACTTAGTGACATGACTATCAGAAATGGGATTAAAAACTTTTGAGAGAAGTTTATTTTCTAGCGAGCTTGGTGTCTTTATCGACCATTACCTTTATTTTTTACGACCATGGTAGGATATGATATATGCCAATATGTTTGGACCTCAAGTTATTTCCATCCTTTGATTTTTGTTCATTTATTTTATATACTTTCCCAAGCACTTAGAATAAAACGAACCCACAGTCAGTTGGCATTCTAATGTCCACACTCAGATAGCAAGACAGGACTTACAGTTCCTTCCACAAATTAACTTAAGAGTTTAAATTTAACCATGACCTCCTTAACATTAAAGTTCTTGTCAATAATTTTAATGTTAAATACTGTATATCTGTTATGTATTTGTACAGGCCTATTTGTTGTCGAGGTTCTTGCTCTTTAAAAATAATAGTTTTCATTGTCACGTTTCTATCTAAGTGTACGTGCCAGTAATGAATTACTTTTTATTTGTTTATTTATTTAATTATTAATATGATCTTGTATTGTTGAGAAATATGGACCAATTTTCAATTTAAGTGGACTCATTTATGTGGACCCATTAGAAAAATTATGTGGGACTGTCACAACAGTTTTACATCCACATTCTTCCTTCCACTGTTATATTAAATCACCCCTGGTAATACAATGGAATATTCGAGCACCAAAATTTAAGCATCCGCCAGTCGATTACTTCTAAGGTCATGTTTTGTTTGGATATATAGACATGATGTGCAATCCAGCAGCTTTTTATTGCCAAGTGTAGCCAACTGACTTGTTAAACTACCCTTCAGCTTCAGAGCAACTGAGCCTCACCTCCCACCTCCCACCCTAATCATGAGGTGGTCTTTGCTTTCTCTAGCATTGGTAGGCGTTGCTGCATTGGCTTACGTGATGTACACCCCTGCCCCTGAAGGCATCACTGAGCCCTGGAAATACAGTGCATTTTGCGGCATGCTAAAGACGTGTCAGATTATTGTAAGTGGACCTACTAGTAGTACTAGTGCATCGATTCTTACTTAAGAAGATACTTAAATCTTGAAGAATTACACTCTAGTCGCTAGGCCTATATCTGAATTGCATATTTTATATTTAAAAAAGTACGGTAGTGATACAAAAATATTGGAATACTTTCCACATAGACTCGTATAAGAGACAATACTTTACCCAATCCTTTTCATGCACTGATGCACATAAAACGTCTACTTGGGACCGAGTGCCACCGAGAGAGAGGGTAAGATGGGGATTTGAGGTGGGGGGCCGGAAGACCAGGGGATATAGAAATTGCAGGTTTCATTATCTTTTTCAATAATAATAATAATGGTAAGGCCCATATACAATACAATTTTTACAATCTTTCTTTCATTATAGTTTATACTATGTATGCCCAGTTTAAACTTTCACAAGAAAATTGTAATATGCACATTACTATCATGGGCCCTCAATTACAGTTACAGTTTCCCCTTTTGGTGCGGCTCTGCAAGGGCCGGTCTTGTGTACCATGCCAGAGTTCATTCTAGATTTTTCTGTTTTCCCCTCATGTTGCACATCATATTAAGGTTCGAAAAATAAATTATTATTTGAAAATTATTTTTCTCCCCCGACCAGGGCGCCACCACTCCATTAGTCCAAGTGTGTTGAACCCCTATTATTGTCACTATTAGTAATCTTCCAAGACCACCTGTCATAATGCTTTTAATGTTTTTTTTTGTTTTTTTTTTTGTATTTGCATTATAAAATTCCTAACACTATTTTTTTTTTCTATGTAGTGTACTCCAAAAATAGAATTTACCCCATTATCAATAGTCATCTGATCGCTGTTTTTTTTTTTTTTTCAACAAAAAATTGCATTGGCCCAGCTAGTTTCAAAAAAGACATGTTCATTTGGAAAAGAACATTAGTGTGCCTGCTTGATTGATTACAAACTGGGAAAATTTACTCAAAACTTGGATTGTAAAATGTTTACATGATGTTGACTTGTGTTGGTCAGATGAATTGTTGAAAAAAAACCCCAGTTTTTTTACCTTCCTATTGTATTGCATGAGTGCAAGTTAAAATTGTATTTTTTGTAGTCATCTACTGTATTTGAATAGACTCTAGTTTTTGATTTTACTGTAATATATTTAAGGAGTTTTGTAATAAAAATGCTATCAGTGGGCCTTTTGTCTGGGAGTATACAGTAGACAACTCACTTCTTTGTGGGTAATACCTACTTGATTTTAAATAGTATGGTTTCCCCTTCTTGGGGGCCTCACTCTTCAATATTTCTAGACAGGTAGGTGCCGCATTTACGGGGGTATTTTTAAGAACTTGGTAGCACAAGCTAGGATTATGGAAGCGTTTCAGCATGTATAGGGTATATTTGCGAGGACTTGGTAGCACAAGTGTGGGAAATATCAGGTAAATTTGGTAGTTAAAGTCCCTACCACGTCCCGTATCAAAGTCACATAATTTTTCACATGATGTTAGCAAAGATTGTTTGCTAACCTCCGTGCTAAACCTACCGTTGATACATAGCCATGAACAGTAGGGATCGCGAACAGACAGAACCGCGGTCTTATTCGCCATCGGTTTAATTTGGTAGGTTACATGGCCGTAATAGTAGTTGAACCGACACCCGATTTTGGTAAATGGCAGTTCAAGGCCCTAATAATTTACTGTAAAATAGGTAGCGCAAGTGTCTCATGTCTTGGAGTGGATGCTGCACACCACCGTGGTTAGTATACAAGTGACACCCCACCCCCCGGGATTTCCCTTAGTTTGATCGGCATTCTCTTATAAGCAGTACTGTATATATTTAATATTTATTTAATACAGTTTAATAATAATAATTCTGGATTTATATAGCGCCTCAGGTTGTTACAACCTTGAGGCGCTTAACAACAACATAGAGAAGAAAATAAACTATAAACTAATGTACAAATTTTTTGGGGGGGGGGGGTTTAGTTTAGTTTTTAAATTAATTTGATGATTATTAAAAATTTTTACAATAGTTTGGTAATTTTAACAATTTATTCAACTCGACCCACACAGCAATTCTTAGAGGTTCTTTCATAGCGTGTAACTTTCCTTTCCATCCCAAACCCTTTCAATTTCCTTTCCCTTTTGTTTCTATATCATTCCTATTTCATTGTATGTTCCCAAATATACTAAAATAGTTCTACCTCCTTATTCTTATGCCCTGTTTAGATTATCAAATTTTCTTTGATAAAAAAACTGTTGTATGCCCATATTTTGTCATGACGTGCCTATATATGTTCATGATGTGATCAGCCGTCCCAAAGCAAAACAACGTAACTGACATTTTTGTCAATTTTGAGAAAATATCATTTGGGAGTATATTAAACAAGTCTGAATTATCTGTGAAAATTTCAGGTCTCAACAATGAGCCATTTCTGAGATAGTACCACCTTTTTTTAAGCGCAAAATTTAAAATCTAGTGATTGGCAAAACAACGCATCTACAATGAAGATACGTTGTTTTGCCTCGGAATGGTATTCAAAAATTGTTTTGAGTTGATGGAGTTTGGCAAGGCGAAATGAACTGGATGTTGGTGTTTCCATCAATAATCTTAAGAGCGACATATGAACAAGCTAAATACAGCATATGATTTCCCCCAAACGTGATAAATTCCAAAAATAGGTTCCATTTGCAACAACACAGATTCTGACATGTTTCTGAGGCAAAACAACGTACCTGTGAATACCGCTAATAACTTTGCAATAAAAAAAGGGTTGTAATTAAAATTTTACATATAATCACAATATACATACAGTGTAGATATACAATTCTGCAAAATTTCAAAAGGGTACGACAATTTATTACCATGTTGCAAAAATGCAAACTTTAACTCAAAAATTTTTCTTCAAAAGTGAAAATTTCAAGTTACGTTGTTTTGCCACGGAATGGCAGTGATGTCATCATGACCATATTTAGGCATGTCACATGTTTTTGTCAAAACAAATTTGGTTGCCTGGACAGAGCTGAAGAACTATGTTTAGAACCTCCTTTTCCCAATTAGGCGAAAGTGCTTGCATATTTTGATGATGGGAACTATTGGAAGCATTATCGACATGTGCGTCATTGGCTAAGGCCAGCAACTCCATCTGAAATTCCTGGATCAAACATTAGATCACGTGTGACGACATTTGATGGGATAAAAGTACGGCTTTACGAGCCAATAAAAAAACAGCAAGGATTATCGCCTGCTCTTGTTTTCATTCACGGTGGTGGATTTGTCATTGGTAGCACAGGTAAGCTACTCAACTATTTTCACAGGCACTCTGGTAGTGCCATAAATTCCCCTACAGTGTACAGATAGATTTTTTTATGTTACTTGCCAATTTGAATTTTATTGTTCAACTTTTATTTTGATGTTGATTTTTAATATGCTGTTTGAGATTTTAGCTTCGCCAGCTGTTTCAGATTTTAGCTTCGTCAGAATTTTAGCTTTCCATAATTTTAACTTTGTCTTTTATATTGTAAATTTTTATTCATGTCTATTTTATTGTAACACATTTGAACATACTGTACTTTAATGAAATATGCGCAATATAAATAAATGAATTATTATTTATTATTTTTATTTCGTAAAGACCATGATAAAAGATCCACTAGTCCCAAATGGTGCTGCCACTGATCTTGATTAAAGTATATTATCATTTTACGAAATCAATTCATCATTTAAAAAATTTGTATGGTTTTCCCCCTCCTACAATTTTATCTTCTACAGTGTAGTAAAGAACTACTGTACAACGAATGTTGTTGAAATAAGAACAACAAAGAAAAACAAAAACAACAAACATTGTAGGACCAAACACTGTAGACTTTAATTGCAAAGTGAAATGTAGTTTATTTATTTTCATTGGACAGTTGAATTGTTGATTATGAATGTTAGCATTACATATTGTTATTATTATATATTAACTTAGAGACATATGACTCAGTAACACGCAAGATAGCTGAAGGTTTGGATATGGTCGTAGCCTCAATTGAGTAAGTATCATAGACCTTCCTTTGAACAGTAGTAGACATATTCGCCATTTGACTGGTTATGGCTGTGTTCAGACACGAGTTATGCTAGAGTAATGGTAATCAAATTGTGTTAACTTGTACGCAGGTATAGTGAACAGAGTATTAATGTGCAATCACTGGTGTACGATATATCTGACGGAACCTAAAATAGTGTACACCAACAAGGAACAACAGTTTTGCTGCAATGAATTTGAACCCTTACAAAATGCTATATATTGTTCGAATGTTAGTACAGCTGGATATAAAGAGGAGCATATAATATAAATCAGGATATCTGTTAACATCATCAAAGAAAGTTAAATACAGTGTTTGAATAAAGGACGTGATGATATATTGTGTAGCATTGCTCTCAACAAATGTTGTCTTAAACATTTTAACATAATGCATATATGACAAAGTTCACATAAAGCTATTTTACTGTTTTCTGTTTAGTTACCGTCTTGCACCTGAATTTAAGATCCCAACTCAACATGAAGATAATCTAAAAGCAATCAGTTGGTTCATGCAAAATGCCGAGCAATTTGGCATTGATTCTAATCATATCGGCGTTGCTGGAGATAGTGCAGGTGGTTTAATGACCGCATACATTTCCCAGGTTATCCATGATGATGAATCACTTCCGGATATCAAATTCCAAGGATTAATTTACCCATTCACACAGGGGCTGGACTTTTACACGCCCTCATACCAGAAGTATGCAAAATTTCTTGGAGAAAAAGGTGTATTACCACGATCTACTGTAATCCACATGGTATCGTCGGCCATAAAAAACGATGGCGATTTGAGCAATGCCAGCATGTTGAATATGCATACGTCTGCGGAATTCAAAACAAGGGTGCGAAAGTTAGTGAACCACGATGATATACCGGTAGAAATGAAAGATGAGGCTTATTACATGCCACCTGCTGATGTTGGAGATGGTGATGCGCAGGTGTGGGAAAAATACCGGTCCATTTTCCTTAATCGTGCCGTCTCTCCATTGCTGCGAGATAACATGACTGGTCTTCCTCCTGCCTATATTGTAACCTGTGGTTTTGATAATCTTAGAGATGACGGAATCCTTTATGCAAAGAAACTAGAACGAGCTGGGGTTGAGACTATTCTCGTGAACTACGATGGTGGGTTTCATGGCATGTTATGGGAAGGTAGATTTTTTGAGTTCCAATTAGCAAAAGAAGCTCTCCAGAAATTTATAATACTGTACATGCAAAACATTCTCTACTACGTGCCTAAAAACAAATTGAAAGTAAAGAACGAAATAATAGATTTTCAGTACACAATGGTCAAAATATTTATTTGTTTCATTGAAACATTAAATAAAAATTACATACATCTAGAATTATTATTTAGTAAAGTACTATTAAATTCTTATATAATTATAAAAAAAAAAAACCAAAATAATTCTCAATTTCTGGTAAGTCTTATATTATGATAAAATAAAAATAAAATATACTGATCTGTAAAATTCTTTAAAATAATTTTGACAAATTATACAGTATTAATATCAGTAAAATTGCCTGTGATTTACATTTGTATTTATTTGTTGTCTTTTATATACTATAACTTCAATACAGTAGGTCACCTGCAATTATAATATACTGGTTTGAAGTTCTAAGATATACTGACCCATAAAATTTGTCTAAAAAATGTTCATTGTAATAATTATGCTAAGTTATATTTAAACTACCACTAAACTATTTATTATCAGTAAAAATTTCTCTCATTAGAAATGTATTTATCTGTCTTCCATAATTGACTTCAAATAAAACTTCAATAGGTCATCAACTTGTTAGTTAAGTGTATATTGGATAAAATATTTAATGTGAACTTATCTTGAGCAGAAACAATTTGATAAGTTGTTTCCCAGCTGAGCTTTTGATTTGCGTGGTGATGCGTATATGATTAGAGTTTTAATTATCAGATATCAGCAAAACAATTGTGCTTATACATTATTTTGCATGTTTCATTGTTATTGCACAAATTTCATGTATTTCATATGATCGATCAATAAATCTGAATCCGAATATATAGAGTAACAGTAAATATTTATTGCCTAACATGGATTTTGAATACATTATAGTGAATCAAGCCAAGGATTGACTATCGTGTTGTCTTATGTTGCCACCAAGAAAGCCAGGCTTCATGTCTATTTAAATAATTTCATTTGGCTTCTCTGACATATTTTCTTGCATACTATAAGCCAAGAGTAACTTATTTCTTACAACTACAGTTTCACTGATCTTCCGGTGAATCGGTGAATGACCTAACCTGAGTTAGTTCATTCCGTCATCGTCTGATGTGATCCAATAACGTGACTTTTTTGTTTGCTCAAGTTTTAATGCAATCCTTCTTCTGTATTTTTTTAAAATTTAATTTAATTTGTTGTAAACGTTACAAATTTTACTTATTTCAGTATTATTTTTAAAAAAAATATATACTACAGTAGATTTTTTACTTAAATTATTTATTATTTATTTTATTGTTAAATGTAGGAACATCACACCAATTTATAAATGCCCACTTAATCACTGCCAATTGTGTTAACAGTATTCTTAATATAAGAATATTAATAAATTAGAACAATATTAATAATATATTGGTTCTATTTATTGTAGACATAAACATCAGTATCATATAGTATTGCAACTATGAATGAGCACCTTACATATTATTATCCTAGGAACTCACTTTCCTTAATTGATAGTGAGAAGGGCATATTAAAGCAACATGGACAATGTGGAAATCACCCTGATTTCTTGCACAGTAACAATTCTGACAACTTTAGGCACACTTAAATATAATTTAGATGCTTTGCTAATACAAGTATTAAGATAGTATCAAGTTTTCTGTACAGTTGGGGTGCAGTCTGGGAGGGGGATGAGATGAAGGGTCACAGGAACAGTCAATCATTTTGTTGGTAACCACTGCCTTCAAAAAGTATTTTTACGGACAGTTCAATTTCCTGGTATTTAGAGATGCTTATTATAATTTTCTTACCTCTGCCCAAAACATAGTGACTGAGGTTGGTGTGGGCCCTCGGTTGAAGACCGACCCCTCATCCTGAAATGTCTGGCACCACCAGTGCTTCTACGTAAAATATGCATGATTTTCCTATAATTATGTAGGCGAGTTGAAGTAATATCAAACCTATACAGAAGGAATATAGACAAATCACAGGTATTCCTCACTTGAAACTTGATACTGTAGGCAGATCTTAACACCTAATTGGACATTTTAATGTAATTAAAATTTTTAACAATTTACTAGACCTGATGATTTCAAACTACTGTTTCCATGGCTGCAAAATATATGGTGCCACCAACAATTAAGATGAAAGCGTTTCTGTCGTTGGGGATAATTTGTAGATCGCGCCTAATTATGAAGGCGAGTTGAAGTAATATCAAACCTATACAGAAGGAATATAGACAAATCACAGGTATTCCTCACTTGAAACTTGATACTGTAGGCAGATCTTAACACCTAATTGGACATTTTAATGTAATTAAAATTTTTAACAATTTACTAGACCTGATGATTTCAAACTACTGTTTCCATGGCTGCAAAATATATGGTGCCACCAACAATTAAGATGAAAGCATACTGGAAGTAAAAATCTGCTTCAAAATCTGAGGGATATTTTTGGTATCCAGACAAACAAAGGCTCTGCCTGCAGGCAAATTTTTGACCAATCTGAAAAATCAAATAAAATGGGAACAAAATGGGAATAAAGAGTACTTGTTTGAAAATTATATGAAACAAAGATGACCGACTCAGTATAGAAATTGTGAAAACCAACCTATCGGCCTGGTCACCAAGTGATCCAATAAAGATGGCATATGCATTAACATCATCATTACTATTGAGAACTCGAGCAAAATGACTTGGGGAAATTCCATATCGGTCAAAGTTTGCGTCACTTAAAACGATGACAAAGTACTCGTCTGCTTCAGTTTTTGTGACGTCATTTATCGCAAACTGCGTCGCCTCAACTGTGTAGTCGCCACTCATACAGAATTGAGAGTGAGCATACATAGTCTGGGAAAAACAACAAAAAAGAAAACACAAAACTATTAGGGAAATTTGGACATAATATATCATTGCTTACAGACTTCAAAAATCCTGGGGATGATGGGGAACCCATGACCCTAGCTGGCACCACCACTGCACTTATAGTGCTTTGGGTACAAATTCCAAAAGAAACCATACATTTTGCTTAAAAATATTATTTAACATCTTATTAATAACATGCAGTAATAAAGCTAAATATACAGTAACTATATCATACCTTAATCACTTTTAGCCTCTCTTTGTTATTTACAGGACTTTTGTCACCTTTTACAAATGAGATGTTGTAATTTTCGCCTGAGTGTCCAACAATGTCATACTGAGGAGAAATATATTACATCAGATTTAAATTGACCTGGCAAAATATAACGATATTCTTTCAGTATTTACCTGTTCACAGCTAAGATTGCCACAAATTGTTGGAATGTCTTCAGATTCTCATTACCACTGATCAGTGACGTATCTATGAATAGCTATCTTAAAATGGGGGGGGGGGAGGCAGGGTGCAAGAGGTAGGGTGCAAAGATGATGTGGGGTGGGGCCTCGATGATTAAGTGAGGGTGAACTAGCTCACAAAATAAGGTGATATGAGGTGAATTTTTTGCTTCAAACATTTTCAATAGACGGGGCATGTGCCAAACACACCCCCTAGATACGTCACTGCCACCGATACAATACAAATATTATTGTATACGACACGCATAAATTCTAGGCATCTGATTAGTTAAGAAGCAGGCAATAGAAAGTACTATTACCCTATGGGATAGTACTTTTTTGCCCTGCCACATGATGTGCAATCTCTAGGTTGCGTTGCTATGTAATTTATAGCACACATGGATGGTAAAGGAGATGCTACCTCTACCCTTAAGGCCCTTTGATCACTTAGGCCTTAGAAGTTATTTTCATTGCTTTTTTAGGTCTCGCAAAATCTAAGTATGAGGTTTATAAAACAAATATTGACTGCTCTAGAATCTGGTGAAATGGTGAAATCTATAGCCCCTTGGTGATGTGGCAACTGTAGCCTATCTCAAGGCTTCGGCCCTCGGGACATAGGCTACGGTCTCCACATCAACTTGGGGCAATAGATTTCACTATTCTCCTAATGAGCAGTAAATATCTGTATACTATATTTTACCATTTTAGTTTATACTGTATATTTATATTTATAATACGTCACCTTAAATTTGGTGTCATATTTTTCAAATGATTCCATCACCATGACAGCAGCCTCCATGACACGTTCAAGTCGCTGGTCCACACCATTGAACCGGTACATGCTGCCACTGACATCAACAACTAATCGCAACCGCTTAGGCAGGACTTGCGGTGCACCCGGCTGCAGATGCAAAAGGACATGGAAGACTTTTTTTTTAAATGGTATTAATTTTAACACAAGCTATATAAATCAAAACATTATGTAAATGAAGCTATGCAGCATCAACCAATCATGATGTACAATTGCAAAAGGAGTAATTGAAGATGAATGCTGACCTAAAATTGTTGTAATATTTTAAAAATTTCTTAAACGGATGTTCTTATAGATTAATTGAAAAAAATTTTCAGGAATTACACCACATACCTCAGGTTCTTTTTCTTTGCGTCGTTTATAAATGGTTTTCTCGCCGGTCAAACCTTCAATAAGTTTTCCATCATCAAGATCACCTGATGTTTGATGCTTCAACCACTGACGTTCCTTGTTCTTGGCCTGCAGTAAGAAAATGTGTTTTCAGGCAAGTGATAATGTGCCAAATGGTTTTCTGGCATTGCAATGCTTCTCAGTTTTGTTTACTTTTTGTGGGGAGGGGGTCCCCCATAGGCTAGGTTACTTTTAAGGATAATATAAGGTGTCATTTTCCATATCAGTTTTAAACTATAAAATACACTTTTCTGTGACCCTCTTTACCTTAAAATATGATTGTATCATTTAAAATTATTTTTTTTTAAGAATGAGTACTGCACATCCCTGCTTTTCAATTTTTTTTCAACTTGGTGTCTATTTTTAAGTCACTCAAAATGTTGTGGTCCCATAGGTGCCTGGTTTGGAGATGCTTTTGGTTTGAGATTCGACCCATGACCTCAAATAACTATGGTTGGAGCTGAGCAGAATAAATTTTAAGGATTTTGCACCTCTAGATGTTTGGAAATGACAAATATTTTACAAATGCTTTGGATAAAATACCTGTAAACTTTCCAAAATGACTCTGATGGATTGAACCTGTTTCTTGACATTGGCCAGGAACTTCTCGTACATTTCTGCATCATATTCAGACATGTTGATCTCATTCAACCTGAGGAAGCAACACCAAAAGAAGCTCGGATTGGTTGTGAGCAATCATGTGATATTAATGTAGTAATACTAATGTTAAAAATAATCATTTAATTCTTTAAAATCAACAGATTTCCAATGGGATGGAACTATGATAAATCAGTGGCGGATCCAGAAATTTGAAAGGGGGGGGCCCCAGGGAGGGACTTTCACAGTACTGCTTGAGGGTCTAGACCACTTCAGACCCAGCATGGTTGGGGGTGATGTAAGAAACTGTATGATTATGCACCTCTAGTTGGCAGGAAATAGCACTCTCAGACTTAAATTTCAACATAATTTTTTTTTTCTCCATTTTTCTTATAATTTATAAATAAGGGAGACCTGGACATACTTGATTAAGCGTCACAAAAGTTGCTAGTGTGAAAACCGTTGTCACATGCTATGAAAAATGACTGCCTTTAGCAGTCTGTGTGAATAGGCTTAGACCTCAACTCACCTTTCTTTGAAAGCCTTCTCCGCCATCTCACGAGCGGCGAGAAGAACTTCAGGTGGGACCGCATCTTTTTCCGCTTGACTGACTTGTGTGACATCATGACCGGCATCCAGTCTGTATGGTCCGCCAATACCTCCAAGACCCGCAGTGTCACGACCACCTACGAATCAAGCAGAAATTAAAAAATTATCTGTGAAGATTAAACCGAAAGTATACTTAAACTCTTCTTAAATTTGATCCAGTATCACTACATATAATACTAAATCACTCTGTCTTGTGTGAATTCAATTGTATGATGAAGACAACAGTGACATATTTTTTACAGTATGAAAAAAGTATGTGTTATATTTTTTTACAGAATGTACAGAAAACAATTGAATCTGCACTTCATGAACTCTACCACCATGAATCATGAATTTTTTACCAATTACAGCAATTTTATTTTTATTTTAAACTCTGACCCAATATATCAGTAAGCTATTGAGGGTAGTATTGCACCAAGGTGACTATACTGTAATACACAAGACATCTGTTCCAATTTGAGAGGATGTTAATGGATAATGCATAAACGAAACAAAAAATAATAAAAAGAATTTCATAAATAAAGTATTTCTGGATAGTTACTCAAGAATGAGTGTTGGTAATCTATTTTTGTATAACCAGACACTGATACAAAATTACACAGTCACAAAGATGCCTACATACCTGTGCCACCTGCCCAGGTGTTACCTCCAACATGGGGCGCATTTGTTGGGTCGTCTTTACCATGCTTGGGGGAAGTAACACCCTTACCAACTTCCTTTTCATAGTTGATCTGTGGATGAAGTAACAATAAAAAGAACTATTTTGAAATCAATGAAGAATGTAATATATTATTTTATATTAAGTATATAAAAGAGAAGACAGGTTAAAAATTATATATACTTTCTGATACAGTATAACAATTTTTCAATCGAGCTATGCCCCCAGCATCAACAGTGACGACACCCTCGTTGGTTGTGCTTGCCATGACGATGTTGTTAGCGCCCCCTGAGAACCATGACACATACTGGGACACCCGAGGTGGTCTGTCAAAATTAGAATCAAATTTCTTACATTGGAATTCACAGATTAAGCAATGAACTAGGTATTTGTATTTTACTTTTTCTTATTTTAATACATGGCAATCATACACGGCATTTAGCATTTAAAAATGTTGTGGAAAAATTGGGTGGGGCGGGGTGGGGGAATTTTATCCACCTCTGTTGATTCCAACTGTTTGTAGAAAGGCACTTCCTAAGAAGCTAAGGATGTGTTCCATAGGTGTCCCAACCAGTAACTGGGGTGATGATGTAAAAGTTATAGAAGCAGTTTATTGCAATAACTGCTACATATATGGATCATTATTACTATAAGACCTCCTTTTAAATGACCCATTAAAGGCGGAAGATTCTATTATATTCAAGATTAAATTTTAGTCAGAGAAAAAGAAAATAAAAAATAAAAAAATAAAAATATGGTTCATCCAAATAAGCATACAAAAACATTTCATTCTAAGATTTATAATTATTCATGGATTCACAGAGAAGTAATTAAACATTATTGTATTTATTCTGTATACATTCCGATCAACTACCGACCCCATTAAATATGACCTGGCTATGCAAATGGCTTAATTAATAGTCCTGGTACAAAATTGATTTTTTTTTAAAGATTGTATTCATTTTTATTGACATTCATTTTTTAATTTTTTATATCAGTTATGTACCTAATAAATTCAATCAGAGAAAAGCAATGACAAACATTGTATGTGAAAGAAAAAACATTTTGTATGACGGACTTTTAATTGCCACTACTTAATCATGTAATACAAATACTGTTATTACATTTTAAAAATTTAAGTAATAGTAATATGATAAGTAATAATGATTAATTTTGTACATAACTGTTAGCAATAATTTATAAGGTATTTTTGTAATTTTACAGTATTTTTTTTATTTTTATAGAATAAGTCTTATTTATATTTTGATAGTTAAATTGTAAAACCACAAGTAATCTTCCACTTCATTACTTATTGGTAAATTGTTTATTTACTGGATGTTGTCTGTCACACCCATGGTGTTTGCATCAGGAGACTTGTAAGGATTGATATTGCCCTACTTGTGTTATTTTTCTGAATGCACAATACGTTCCCAAATACTGGGAATACTAATATCTTGCAAGTGCTTATTTGTCTATGTTTTTAAATTTATTAATTGTACAGTATCCCTGTTCAAGGTTTCTGTTTATGTATGAATGAAAAAACAATATAATATGACTATATGACTATGATCTACCTTGGAACTGGTATGTACTTGATAGTATGTCTACTAAGGTCAGCAACCTCCAGATAATTTGATACAAACTTAGTGATATCATCTGAAAAGAGATCATAAAAGAAAAGGTTAATAAATCATTTAAGGTGCTCAGTTTTTGAGGTATTTTATATGGAAATGTTGCATGTTTATCAAAAGTTACTTTGTTCACACAAAATGTGTTTATGTATAATCATTAATCTAAAATTGTCACATTATAAATGTATGATCAGTTTTATCTAATACTTTTATCACTATCATCATTACTACTATAATGGACCTTTCTGGACAGTCAATCAAACTAATAACAATTGACCAATCTAAACAATGCCAGAAATGCACACATCTTAAAAGCACAAGTGTTGCCCCACAAAAATGCACGCGTTTGCATATGTTTTTACACTGTCATTTTGTGAGACCTTAACAATATCCAAAGGAGTGGGGCTTAGCACAAAGGTCCATTACCGCACCTGCAACCAATGGAGTAATCCATACTATATGGAAGCACCAAGAAGTACTGAGTATATAAGACAACCCGCGTATAAGACAACAACCAAGTTTGACAAGATTTTTAAACAATTTTTTCTCCCTTTTATGGTCTTGATACTGCATCTACTGTAGCTGGCTAAAAATGGAGCCAATGCAAGGCTAATCCTCCAACATAATACTATTTGATGAGTTTTTATATGTCCATCAAAATCTTATTTCCTTGTATTTAAAATTGCGTTCATTCATACTAACATTTTAGTAATTCCACTGCAGTAGTAAACTTGCGTGTTACGGACAATCATAAGACGAGCATGATTTACTAAATCTAAAATTTGTATGTCTTGCGTATAAGACAACCCCCTGTTTTTTTATCGTAATTTGCCATTTTCAGCCTCGTCTTATACCCGAGTATATACGGTATATACAATATTCAATAAAAATATAAGCAAGGAAAGCTCCTTATATATTGACTTACTGCTCGGCAAGGCTTCTTCTGGTACTTTCTCAGATGGCGTGACACGCACAACCTGAGCTGACCTGGGCAGAATTTGAACGATGTTGGAAGGTGCAACTGTGATTGCGGTCTTCCTGACGAGGTCATCTAGAGGGCTAGTCGCTTCCATCTTAGGCTCCTTCACAGGCTGCGGTAAAACTCTTGGAAATGTGTACACATCCACTGTCGACTAAGCACATAACAATTTTTAACATTTGAAAATGCAGATGCTTATACTTGTTAAGATGATTGGCTTTAAATTCTACCAAAGGAGCTATTTCGGGGGTCCTGAAGTCTCACAATTCGCAGATTCTCCTGAGGAACAGCCTACCGCATTTTTAGGAGCCAGCATGAATCTCACAGAAAACAACCCAATCACGCAAATTCAAAATACAGTAGAATGTTTTTACTAAGTACTGTATTAAAAATTGCCTCCAGAAAGTTAGTGCTAATAGGTATCACCAAACACAGCAAAATATAATTAACCAGATGTCTTGGAAGTGGCTTCTTCCTACTTGGGACCACTGATCTCTACTATAATAGCTGGATTGTTCATTGGCTGGTTTTAGTGAGGCCACCAACGCCATGTTGGAGAGCCTAAGTGAAGTATCAGTTTAGACAAGTTTCTTTTGGCATTTGTTTAAAATCACTTAAAATAACGATTCTTGCAATACCTTTTAATAATAAATTTAAATTTAACGTAATGATTATTTTTCAAATCATCTAACCACTTGACGTGACTCTTTATGCGGTTTAAATAAGTGCAAGTGAAGTTATTTGCGTTGTTTATAGTGATCAACATAATGGTGATGAAATAAAACAAAGCACTGAACAATACCTTGAGATCTGGGAAGCCAACAGCAATGTTAGCAACATCACTGCTGTTTGCAAGGACTCTATTTGGTGCATCTATTTCTTGGCTGATTGCGGATGATAATCCGTCCTTTGTCAGACCTTCACTTGAAATCTCTATACCATTACCAATAGTTGCATTTCCTTCTGAATATCAAAGACATATTTTAATTTTTTTTTTATCTATCCAGTAGGCGGTGTATGGATTTGTTTTTTAGTTACTTGAATAGTGTGAATTTTTTGATAATACATTCACTCATTGCACTATCATAATCACCATCACCAAAAACCTGAAGTATTCAGATCCAGGTATATTTGGCACAATAAATGATATAAGGATTCTATTCAAAGTTTTCTTTAGAAAGCAGAACTTGTTACAAATAAAAAATGAAAAAAAAGGGTCAAGAGTTTATACCAACAGATAAACATTGTAGCACATTGTATGGACGGTATATCAATGTTAACATTCAATTTGCTTTAAACACTACTTAAAAAGTAAAATACTATACCAAATTTTAAACCTTACTCAACCCATGAATCAATGCGCATTTCATGCTGACATACATTTTGTATTACCTGTGTTAATGGCATGCAGTTGGCAAACTGGTTCCTTAGGTGATGGTCGACATAAGAGGTACTTCCTGTAAGAACAAGAAAAATGTACATATCATATGATCATCATTATCATTAAAAACAATTAAAAAATTGATCTGGACACAATACAAATGCATTTAATCTTTTTGTTTCTTTAAAAGGGAACAAGAAAGACTTTTGATATGTCTCTAGTAATAGACTCAACTTTAAAATTGTTTTTTGGCAATTTTTAATGAAGTTATAGGTCATTACGATTTTGCCCCTTTAAGGCCAACTCAGACAGCGTCGGCCGACGCACCCGACCCGATTTATCATCGGGGACAGTCGTAAGATGCCGTGAGAAATATTAAAATGTTTAATATTCTACGACGTGACTGCCCCCGACGCACACCATCGCGTCTGTGTTTAACTCCCACAGACCCGACTGTCTGAGTTGGCCTTTAGCAGCATGACGTCAGTGTAAGCTGCTGTAGCCAAAGATTGTATAGAACTGTGCGTGGCACTATACAAATTTTTTGTTAGAGTAGCTTATTTATACTGACGTCACGCTCCTAAAGGGGTAAACTGTAATAACTACTTTAAAAAATTGGGGAAAAAAAGATTTTAGTTAATAAGAACTATTACTAATAACATATAAAAGAGCAGCGCTTATTCGAGCATGTATGGTAGTTCACATGTGTCATGCCACTATTAAAAACACATAACAAACCACATCAATTATGTATCTTATGCTGTATGCTAGTCCCCTACTGTGCTGGCGGTTGTCACCTGACATGATTCTATTGAGAATGATGAGACCCATGCATTGGATCATTTTTTATGACTGCCAGCGACAATTTGCAGATTGCATTGTACTGTCACGCACTCATAGAGACTAACAATGGATTCTCACAAAAAATAATTTAATCTAGAACATAATCATGAATCAATCTGATTCTACTGGTCACTATATATGATTTACTAGTGCCATTATTACCTGCCATCTGTCGCATCTTCAATGAGCCATGAATCTTTGGATGACAGATGTATGGACTTGATTTGGAGCGGTACATCAACACTATATGCACTGCCCTCAAGTATGTTAACAACATGTAATCTTCCACTGGAAAAATGAAAAAAAGGAAAAAACTTGCATGAATCAGGAACAAAATGTATTTGCCTTTTTTTTTTTTTTTTTGAATTACAGATGAAAAAGTTATCTTTAACATTTGTAACAATATATAAATAACATAATATATGTGAAAATACAGCTCTCCCTAAAAAAATAAAAAAATAAAAAAATAAAAAATTCATCTGGGATGGCCGAAAATAGTCTGTAGTTAGAGGTTGATGATTGAACAGAGGGCATTGTTAATCAGATAGATAACTTTACAATCACACTAATATATATAACTATTAAATACAAATTTAACCCTCATGGATAGAGCAGGTTTCTACTATGAATTGAAAAAATTGGCATTAATAAAACTTGAAATTTTAAAGCTTTAATATGAGAAGTATAATCATTTTTAAACATAATAAAGAAATCGTTTAAAGTACTGTAATATTTATAGTTTAATAGTAATTCAGACTGGGTCCATTGTGACACAAGCCATCTGTACACCGTGAGACTAATCCCATGTTTTTATCCACAGAATATACTCTCTAACATGCACAAGGGCCAAAAGTTGTACATGGCTTAAACATCTCATCCAAAAGACAGTGCTACAATATTTCTCAGGGATAGCAGTTTGTTGGAAAATGAATGATGAACACAGAGATCTCCATGGTTCAACGCACACAATGGTGGATTATCCTGGTTGCCACCATAATGGACGTTTCAATTAAACCATCCACAACATGGCAACCTAGTACTGTACAATCTACGATCTCTTTAATTCTCACCTTTCTTGGTAAAATACCAGCCAATTCTCATGTGCGAAATCACTGCACATTTTGAAGTCATCTTGCTCAGATCCAGTGAAGCGCTGTGTGATTTTCTTCTTAGCTTCCTCATACATGGATGTGAGGTACAGCCGCTGGATGTTACCATTAGCAGTGTCAATTACAAGAACAACATTGCCCTAATATACACAAAACTCAAAATTTGTTAAATATTCAATATTTGTATAAATGCTAAAAACTCATTTAGGCAGGCAAGCAAGTTGCCAATTCTATATTTTATTTATTAAATTTAAGAAAAACACGCTTGGATTCACAGGATTTTACCCTTGGATTGGGAATTTGAAAAACTCCTATCCTATCCTAACAAATTCATTCTCCACACACCCTTAAATTACATAACAGGGTGAACTCAAGGTTTCAGGTACAGAGTCAGAGGCGTAACAACAGGGGTGCAGAACAGGGCATGTGCCTGGGGTTCCTAACTGAGGGGGAGGGGGAGAGCACCTAAGTGAGCCTATAAACAAATATTATTTAGGGCATTCAGGTAAGAGCTTTTTGGCGGAGTTTTACTCAAGTCAATAAAGTATAAATTTTAGCACACAGAGTAGATATGATCCGAGCTGAAAGGGGAACCATTTCCATTCTTTCCCGGGGGACACAAACCCTAGTCATGTCCCTGTACATACATCATACCTAAATAAAAAATTAAATAACACAGGATTAACGTAATCCTACCTGCTCTTCATGCATCACAATCTGTCCAATTAGAGGATGACCTAGGGCGGCGATTCTGACACTTTTGCGGCTTAGACCGGGAAAGACATCGTATAGGTCCAGATAGTTCATAGTGGTACCACGTGGAGCCATTGAATACAACCCCACTGGACTACATGTGACTAGATGTATTAATTCTGCTGCTTTATCTAAAAGTGAAACAGAAAAAACACTTAGTGCTTCCATTAAGAAACACAAAATGGATGTCAAAAACAATTCAGAACAACCACTAAAACTCAACATCAAAACCTCTTGGATAAAGCCATATCAGCTAATGGTACAAAAAAAAACAGATGAGAATTTATTTGGACAAGCAGAAATGAAAATAAGTTCTTTTCTGAAGTGAAAATATGGTTAGGTTCTAACTAAAGTTAGCAAACATGTGCGATGATTATGCATAAAATAACACCATGTATCTTTAAGTTACACTACCAATTTGATTGGTCAAACACGTGAACGACAACAATTTTGTTCTCATAATTCACTGGAAACTGGAATGGTGATGATGATGATGATAACTATAAGCTAATAGAAGATTCTAAAAAAATTGCCATTTCAAACTATATAAGAGTCAAAGACATCATGGAAGGACTAGGTTTACCTTTAGTTACAGCTATATCAGTGATAATGTTGTGCTCATCTAGTGGAATAACCCACCGTGCAACCTCTTCCCCAAACCCTAGCGACCTTGCTTCTGTCCTCTCCAGTGGCAGACATCTGACACCAAGTTGAACTGGACCCTGGGATTGCATGTAATCCAGATTAAAAGTAAATCAATCATGAACAAGGCATGTGTTGTGGAACAATTGCATATTCCCTGGCCCTCTTGTTAAGTTTAACACTCATATTTCAGCCAACCCACAAAGATCCCATTTGGATACCTTATAAAGTTTAATCTACTTCAAATTCGCAACCCTCTTTGGCTCTGTGCCAAATCTACATCAGTCCTTACCTTAACTTTAATGTTCTTTTCCTCTACCGGACAGAGTAGATTACGGTGGTTGGAACCAGGATTATTATACGTCCATTGGGAAGAAAGGATGGGAGCTGATAAAGACAACCTGGAATATATGAACAATTCTCATCTCAGCCACTCATTGTGAATCACTAATTTATAGCACACCTAAATAAATCTTCACATGACATTGGTTATTTACACCATTCAATGGCAAAATGTCACAAAATTTATTTTTCATGAAATATCAAATGATAAGGATCTATTTTAAAACAAATACTGTAATGAATGTTTTTGCGGAGCAAAAATAAATATTTGTATTCATTAAAAAGATGAGCAATCAACTATAAATCTCAATCTTGTTGAGAACAATAATCCATCATTAAACTAATGAAAATTAAACCTCTCTTCAATTATGTATTTCAGGTACTGTATATAAGTAGGAGCGGTTTGGTGCAGCGGTTGTGGTTCTGTTTTCGACCATGAGGTCAGAGGTTCAACCCCTCGCTGTGCATTTCACTTGTGTCCTTAGGCAAGGCATTTTACGTATGGTTCTCAGCTACGTTTCCACCCAGGAGTACAAGTGGGTACCTGGTAGGTTCAAACACAAAATGCGCTGATTACTTCTGCAACAGTTTGAGTGGAGTTGAATAGCTTGGTGGTTAAGATGTTTGCCTTCCAATCCCAATTCCTGTCAGTGTTGCAGGATTTTTTCTCACGACCAAAACAACTCTACTCCCTATATCTCATATTGAGATTTAATTTGTGTAAAGCATCGTGTGTGTATGTTTGTCTTGTGTAAGGGATTGTCACCTACAAGTAGGACAGTGATATATCCATTATTGACAATTCTTGGCACATGTATTTTGTGCCTAAATAAATAAAAAACAAAAATGATGGAATTCTCCCCAGGGACCTTATGTCTTTCATCCAATGACTTGGGGTAATAATATGAAACGCTTAGATGACATACTGACTTGAAATGCTTTATAAGTCTTCAACATATTATATTATTATATATTGTATAGAGGATACGATTCCAAAATTCTTTTAAAACAACTTATAAGACAGCCTTTATGTCTCTAACGTATTTAAATTTCCTTGCAGTTTGTCTTATATTTATCTGAAATGCCAGGGATATACAAAAATTTGTTTGACAGACACACATGTTTGTCTGATAGTGCTGCTTGTTTTTAATCTCTGTTCACATTATCATAGTTTTAAGAGACATTAACATCTATGAATGATTTGACAATATATGGCAATGATATCACAAACTCCACACTATCAAATGTTCACAAACTGCTGTATATATAGTCAGGATGTGCCTAAATGTCACCATGACCATATATAGGCATGTCACATGATTTTGTCAAATAAAATCTGACAGTCTGGACAGGGCTTATGCACATATTTGTCACATATCACTCGAAGGTGTGAACACAAAAATATTTTCAGGGAAAGTCATATAATTTTGTTACTTTGAAATTTTGTAAATCACTGAATATTGTAATCTCAGTTTATTACACCCTTTAATGTATAAATTCATACCAAGGAATAAAGACAAACTACAAGTTATTTAAAAACGTCTTTTAAAATTTATTAAATAATGCAATAGCATATTCTTACTTTCTATACATAAATTTTATATTAAGTTAGCACTGTTTATAATGATTCACATTAAAAAATTTATCCAAGTTTGTAATTACTTTCATGAAGGTTTACATCCATCAACTGGTTTATACTCTAATTGGTAAGTAAAATCAATGTTATTTATAATACGTTTTTATTTGTTATTTTCTATTATAACATTAAATGGTAGATAAATATATAATTTAGAAATATAAAGCATTTGAAATAAAATATTATATTACTATCATCAGTTTCAATAAAAAAAAAGTATTGTAAGGAAATAATAAACAATATGTCTGAATGATAATAATTTAAAACAAATTATGGTATTAAAAAAAATTACAAAAATACATATGAATATGATAATCAATAAAACATACCATAAATGAGTAATAACAATTATATTACAAATGTGAGTTTGCCTCAGGAAAACATCATAAGAGTGATGAAACTTGCATTGTAATAGCACTTGCAGTACCCACTGCTACTTGGGTATCAGATTCATCACTAGTCACCAAGCGCAAGCTCGGTGGTCTAGTGGTTAAGACATCAGCTTTGATACCTGGAGGTAGTGGGTTCGATTTCGACCCAAATCACTTGCAAATTTTTTTTGCTAGCATTTCGGAACGTATTGAGTATTCGGTACGATAACACATCAGGTAGGGCAGAACATCGCTCCTACAATTTTATTACAATTACTAATATTATTTATTATAACATCAGATATTAGTTGGCAGTTTTAAGATTTCATCTTCAAACATTAACATACTATTACATTAAAATATCTGAAAAATATCTAAAAAAGCCCTGAGAAATTTGCAAGCAAGTACTGTACTTTAAAAACGATCAAAATTATATACCATTTCAAAGATAATTAATTATAGAATATAATTATATAATCATTTTCTAAATAATTATAAACAATTCTATATATTGTTTTGCTTGTCTTATTTATGTATAAGAACAATAAAAAAGTGCATGAAGTAAGATTCATGAGCTGAAATGTTCTTATGTTGGTAGGTTGTAAAAAGTGTTAAAAAGCTCTGCAAATCTGTCATGATATCATGTCTCTGTACAGCACTATAGAACTTTTTACAACATGCCAAGATGAGGTCACAGTAATCAGTGTCTTAAGTAGCATCAATACCATCATTATTACATAACAAAACCCATACTAGGGGTGGCACCAACGGGTTGGCCAGCTGGGCCTTGGGCCAGCCCTCGGGGTGTCAGGGGAAAAAATTTATTCAGAGAGGTGCAAACAATTTGGAATAATTTTGATAGAAGCAGTTGGCCTGAGAGTGTCATTTGTGTGGAGCTAAGTTGGGTGTGGCCTGTTTGTTGGAATATTATGGAAGGACCATAAGTCAAGGAAATGCTGACACGACCTCTAGCCCATACATCAATACATTTACAGCATTAACATAATACATGTCTTCTTACTCTTTAGCGAGTTGTACATTTGTTGGTTGCGCTCCAATGGGAATGCCATGCTTATGTAGAGTATCAATCAACTGTTCCTTCACTTCTTGGTTGTAGACATCAAAGTCAAACACATTTTTAACGACGTTTGCTATACCTTCGTTTGGAAATTTCTGAACAAAAAACAAATTGAAAAAGTTGCATTGTATATATATATTGTTCTAGTTTTTGTGTACAGACCTAAAAATAAAAAAAAATTGACAGATTAATTAGCTACCGTATAAACAGGTTAGTTGATTATCTTGCAAGGAATGCACCTTATAGAACAAAAAAAGGTTAGTCCCCTTCTCTAAATGTTAACCCTTTCTCTTAAAAGGAAATTAATCATTTATTACCTCAAATTCCTGACTATATTGACGACTTCCCTGACAGAGTATGGTAATGCTATACAGTATGGCCTTATAGAAAGTTACATTCCCCACCCTTCTCCACTAAAGTTGTGCATAAATGAGTTGCTATTCAGATGTTATGTCCCCTCTTTAAAGGTTATCTCCTTCGCTTGAAAAAAAGTTGATCAAACTTTACCTCTAAATGCTTGACCATATTGACCACTTCCCTGGTGGAGTAAGGGTAAGATATAAGGCCTTGGTCCGCCATATTACGTAGCTCTCCAAAGGCAAGTACTAACTTCCGTAAGATTCCATCTGGCACGCTAGGACCGTACTTCCTTAGCATTGCCATTTCCGAATCCATATCTGGATTATCAACAGCATGGCAACTAAATATATCACCTTGAGGAAAAAAATAATATTTTTAACGCTACTGTATTCTCTCACTTGATAGCCAATTAATATGGCCAATTTTTCTGTTTAAAAAAAATAATAATAATAAAACAATTAAGATAAGTCCTAGCAACACAGCTTTCTTGCAGTCAATTACCCAACAGGCTCAGGATTGAAATCAGTGCAGTGATGTTTAATACTTAAGACCTTTGAGATCCCAACCAGTTCTAAAGCCAAATTAACAGTACACCAAACCCAGAGAAAAACCTAGTTTCTTCACAGCCCTGCGCTTCAGCATAACTTCATTCACCAGACATCAGCTTTCTCTGTAAATTTATCCCCAAAAATTGATACTGAACAACTTCATGTGCATAGAAATAATTATGCTCATACGTTGTAGGGCACGGTTAAATTTTTTGTTTAAGATTGTACAACATTAAATAAAATGGTCTGTAAAAAACATTTATTGAAGGATTTAAACTCACCTAATGAACCAAAGAAATCATTGCCTAGGAATGGAAAACCAGGTCTATTGGCAAGAACCATCATGCGAAAGTTAGGATGTGTCACTATTACACTGTCAGACGGTGGTATATGAGAACCAGCTTAATGATACAAAAGGTAAAAGAAAGGATATAAGCAAACATTATTAATTACCAGTGAAAGTATTAATATTATTCTTATCATGGATATGTTAACCACTGCCATTTTTTTAGTTTTGAATAGCCAAATTGTGATGAATAAACCAGGATATTTAAACCAGGATACTTTAGCTATCAGAAAGTGGCAGTAGATGAAAGATGATGATAAAAGAACTCACAAATTTGTCACATCAGCATCAATGGATGCCATCTACCAGAGATAGACATAATAAAGAGGAAGGCTAAATAGGAAGAGGGTATTAGAGCGGAGTAAAGGGAGAGTAAATAAGAAAGGGGAAAGAGGAATGTAGAAAAGGAAAATTTGACGTTGAACAGGTGAGTAGGGAGGGCAAGAAAAGTGGAAGGGGAGTAGGGCAAGATGTGATTTGGGAGGAATAGTGGTAAAGTAGAGACTGATAGGAAAAAGCACAAGTAGAAAAATGAGTAAGGAAGGTGTGGAAAAAGGGATAAGTTCAATATGGTAGGAAGATATGTGCGTAAAAAGAGGGTAGATTTGAGAATAGGCTGAAAAGAGATACAATGAAAGGGGAATACAGAAAGGAAAGCAGAGAGAAAGAGAGGCAAGTGAATAGAAGGAAGAGAGAAAGTAGAGGAAGAACAGGTGAATATAAAAGCGTGTTGGATCTTTACAAACCTGCCACAATTTTCCTGCCATCAGCTAAGACCATTTCTCCATTCTCTACTAAGGATTTCAATATACAAGTGACATTAGTTGGTGCTTTATCAGCCTCATCAATCACCAATATATGGCCCAGCTTTACTGCTTTCACCTGCATCGAAATTCAAGTCAAAGAAAGGCAATGCATATGTATTATATTTTGCTGCAGTAAGGTATTTTTCAATTCACTATTTATTCATTATTCATTCTTTTTTTATTTTATTTCATTCGCATTTAAGAGCAAGTAATTCGCCAATTACAGGGCGATGCTTTTATAAACACTTTTATAAACAAAGTCTCTTTTTGAGGTTTGGGGAGAGTTGTTTTTAGTTGTGTGTGAAAAAGTCCTTTTGTTGTTGTTGTTGACCCTGTGATTAGAAGGCAAGCTTCTTACCACTAAGCTATACAACTCTACTCCGTTTCATAACTGTGTTATTTATTTCATTCCTAAAGATGACCCAATAAAGGTCAAAACATTGAATCATGGCCTCCCTCTCTTTAGTCGGAGTAATGATCATTCTATCTCATAACTGTGTGCATATATATTTATTCTATATATAACTATTCTTAACTTAATGTACATTTGAAATTTAACCAAGCCCGAGTTTTCTTTAAATGTTTACATAATTAGATTAAGGCATCTTATATAACATTTGAACGATTCATTATTACTATTAACGCAACCTACCAAGGGTGAATCTTCATATATAATAACACCACCTTGGACATTAGGTTGAAGAGTTAGACTTTGTACTGTAGTGTCTCTATAAAAGAAGAAATAAACAAAAAGAAAAGGTTAAATTAAAAATTATAAGGTAAAATTAAAAGCCTAACATATAAAAAGCAGAGCTGTCTATGATTAATTGGTGGTGATGATGCTAGCTTTCCAATCAAGCACCATGGGAATATCAGGATCGATGCATACACAAATTCCAAAATGTCCAGACTGTCAAATTTGAGGTTGAATTTTTGAACCCTCTCCATCCAGGAGTGTAAGTGGGTATCTGGTAGGGTTAGAATGCCAAATGCACTGGGTAGCTGCTGCAGCGTAATATAGAATACTCTCCAGGAGGACGGTCCGCACCTATTGGCAGCAGCCCAATTTTGGTCCGTAACGCATTTTTGGAGGGCAGCGAAGTCGCCCAGTAGAAAACAAAAAATCAAAGATTTGTTTTTGTAAAACAGCTTTACTGATAACAGAAGATGTCAAATTATATATCATCACAACATGGAGTAATTTTCATAAGAATTTCTTGCCAGGTGTTGGTCCATGGGAGGGCCAGTGACTGGGGTAATAATAATGGGAAGGACATAGAGGCATTTAGCATGATGCACTATATAAGTCTATCGTATTATTAAATATTTCAATGGTTAAAGCATTTACCTATGAAGTTGAATGTATTGCCTTGGTTTGTTGAGTAAATGCAGGAATCGATCAATCACTTTATTCTTGCCAACACCTTGATTACCAATCAACAGCAGATGTTCACCCAGAAGGAAATCTTTCAACATGTCTTCCATGATTGACAGATGCTACAAATACAAAAAATACAGCATCAAAGTGCCGTCTCATATAGTCAAGTGAATAATATAGGCAAACTGATTCATTGTGATTTATCAATGTCTGGGGTTAGCATGGCTACATGCCTAATTACACAGAGCACTAAGAATGCATACACCAGCAGGCATGTGACAGAGGCATTGAAAATAGAACCTACAGTATAAAAATCCATTTTGTGGGGTTCCCCATATTTTTTTTTTGTTACTTTAAAAAAATACTGCAGAAATCGAAAGACCCCCATATAAAGCAATTAGTGTAGGTCCAAGTTCTATCCTATTTTTGGTTTCTTTTTGTTAAGTATTTGTCCAAAAGACATTTAAAATTGTTTATGTTTCCTGTGTCGATGGCTTCAGTTGGTAGCTTGTTCCATAATTTAACTGAGGAGTGGAAGTATGACTTGTTCTGTGTGTGTGGTGGTGGCTAACGTTGATTAACAAACATGAGCCTTATCCCAGCTACTAATGTTATATATTTGAACCATCCAGCACCTACTATTTACTAAATACTAAGCACCTGTTGCTTTTCCTTTTTAGTAAAATCATATTTTAGATTAAAAATTGTTAAATTTCACCTGTGTGTGGGTGTTTCCCAAAAACGCTTGAAAAACCTGATTTTTTTGATTAATTGTGCACCACAATATTATGTATTAAAGCATGGTTTCCTTGAAATCTCTACACTGTCGTTACAGTGTTTTCAGTGCAGTCGTACCGCGTAGCAGTCCCCGGCACAATCGGGAAGGCTCATCGGTTTGACCAACCAATCGGAATCACTGAAACCTGTCAGTGTCAGCGTGTAGCGATTGTATGAAAAGTTTAACATAATTTCAATGTTGTAAATTTAGAGACAAAACAGGAAACTCGTCAGATCCTACCTGAGAATTCTCATAAAACAACGTGTCGGGAACCATCATCTGATTTTCAGGTGAGCTGACTGGTATGGTAGTGGTTCCGATGCGTACCACATTGTTCTTCACTTCACCTGTAAAAGATATGTTGCCAACAATTATATTTAATTTTAGCAGATAAGGTTTGATTATAAAAAGATGAAAACTTTGGCTAAATAAATTTGTTAAAATGAGACAAAAACTAACAAAGAGCAGGGGTCCGAAGTCTCCCGGAAATAGGGAAGGCTTCCCACATTCCTGCGAGCATGCAAGAATCTCTGGAAAATCACCCAACTAGCGCCAACCTTATAGCTGTATGTTGCGGCGTAATTGCCTTAACTGCTAGGACATCCAACTACCCATATATATAATGAGCTACACTATAACTCACAAAATAGCATGCTTAATAAATACCAGCAAGGCCTTATAAATATCAGTCTCAGTTGCCTATTACCTATACCGTACTCACAATGTAAAAGGTGAATGTAAGCCTTACCAATATGCAGATATAAGGCATGATTCAAAGCAATGCAAGATGCCTATGCAACATCACTCATACTAAAATAGAAGGACTTAATCGAATGTAGTTTTACATACTCCTGGTTCATACTCACAAGATATAGATTTTCTGATATCAACATCTGCAGAACTTGGCTGCATTCCAGCATCGTCTAATGCCTTATCTAATGCCTGGTGTGCCAGCTGAGGCAGAAATCTACAAGAATTGAAGAAGATTAAAATACTAGCATAAAAGCATTACAAAACAGGGGCTGTGGCATAACAAAGAGGCCTGAACCCTCTGGCTGTGGCTTCTTCGTGGCATCATTACCCTTAGAAAGGGTTACCAGGTACAATTTCAATCTTGTTTTGTTCAGGAAGACAGATGGTTGAGTATGGGGAGTAAAAATTTTTAATTCAATGTCAAAATGAACATACACGTCTTGTTATTAAAAAATAAAATGCCCTTCTAAAATACCTAATAAACAAAATTAAATTAAATAATGTTTAAAATACAAATTAAATAAATGAAGAGGAACAGGTAGTCTTTAAAATTGCAATAAAAATTTAAAACAAAATGTTACAATATATAGCATATTATGTTAGACCAGCTGTTCTCAAAATATGAGAGTGACTCAAAATTGGGTCACTAAATATATTAGAGGATGGCAAGATTCTTTAGGAGTATTTTAAATTGCATTGTATATTTTATTAAATTTTCATGTTAAAGCGTGCATTCTAAAATATAAAAACTTTTGTTTTTCAGTTTATGACCCATTTTTAATGGCTATATACACCTGTATGTTTGTTTAACGTCCCAAAAAGTGGGTCGCAGAAAATTGCCTGTACGTTTGATTGGTTCGTCAGCCAAAAAGTTTGAGAACCGCTGTGATAGACTATAATTAAAGTGTATTGAACAATACCTTGAAAGACTGGTTTTGTTGACAGCATCATGTATACTGTCATTGGGATGGTGTGACAGTCGCTTTGCTATTCTTAACAGATTCCTAGTTGAGAGTGACGACGACAGGGACTGTAGCTGCAAATACATTATATGAACACATTACAATTGAACTTTCTGCTGAACGCTGTCCATGTGTGTTTGTGGGACATCACGCAAGTTTGTGAGACACGTGCATATTCCTGGCCCTGTTCTGATTGGTCAGTTGTTAAGGTTAATTAACACTCTCAAAAGGTCAATTGTAATCATAGAACTTATCATCCGCATCACCATCAATTCATTGTAATCAAAATTACTGCCATCACTGCCATCATAATCATTAGATTCACCGTAATCATCAGTACCATTGCCATAATTTATTTGCATTATTCATTTAATTTCATTTGTTTAGGCATGAGTGCCAAGGATATGCCAATCAGCGAACTTATTCACTATCCTAAGTGGCATATCCATTAAATGACAGGGGACCATAGCAAACACCAATGTCATCATCTTCGTCATCATCATCCAGAAAGCTCCACTGTAACCATATCACCCATCACCATCAAAATCACTGTCATCAAAATTACTGCCGCTGTAGTCATTAGTATCATCATAATCATCTGTACCACTGTCATAATCACCACCATAGCGAACAGTAACCATTGTCGTCATCATAATTATTATCATAATCATTATAAAATCTGACAACTAAAGGCAAAAGTCAAGTTCATGGTAGCCATACTAAATATGAGCAATCTTTTGTATTCTTTAACTGTGGAACCTGAGGTATTGCAGTTCCCGCATACTTTGAGGAACTTTATACTTACCGTAGGATCTGAGGCAGTTCTCATACGATGTGAGAATTTGAGAAGCTGTTCCAGATTAGCCTCTTGGAATCCAGGAACCTATATTCAAAAAAAAAAAAAGAATTTGAAAACAACTTAATGGCAATGACATAATGTTTCATTAATAAAAGATTATTACTGATATAAATATAAGATCCCTCCACCCTGAAAAAACTGAATTAATAGTTTTTGGCAATAGGAAAGTTGTAAAAACAACAGAAAATTTTAAGATCCAATACATGAATGTCATTATTAAGTCACAAAAAACTTATTTAGGATTAGAACTTGACCAGGAGAATCGATTAAAATTTGGATACCTTCAGATTCGTATTTTGGATAGGGATAGTAAAAAAATTATTATGTTGGCCCTTGCTTTAAGTCTCTTTGACTAAGCAATGACTAGCTGGTATTGGGGAATTTTGAACACTCTTAGAGATAAGTTGCAATGATGTCAAAATAACATATTAAGATTTATTTTGAGGGTTTAATAGTAGATATCATCTGAGTATGGGAGATTTTCTGTCATTGGGAATTTTAAATATTAATAGACGGGCTCAACAATTAACACTTAATCTAATGCACAAAGTATAGAGAAACTTTATGTAAATTTCCCTTTATTTAATCATAATTATAAAACACGAGGTGTAATAAAAAATTTTATTTTTCAAAAAAATTCTCACCAAGTTGATAAGACATTTTACTATAATGGAATAAAAAAAACGGAATGAATTACCAAGTAGTAATTAAAAACCATAATTTTTTTTAATGTTTATATTTGCTTCTCTTTCTATAGGTTGAGGACCCCTACGAAAACAAGTTCATAGAGCTTATAGGGTCATCCTCTTGCTCTCATTTTTGTGTTTTTATGTACTTGTGTTTTGTTTTGATATAATAATAATGAGGGCAATAAATAATAAACAAACAAAAAAGAAATTGCTTAAGATACTTGTACTGGTACTTTTATAAGCCATATTATGGAAGACAATTAGCATGCAATAACTCACTGAGTGGCAGCCACAGATCCATTTTTGGTGGTTTTTGTTTTTGGTGTTTAGTTTTAAAGCACCTTCAGTTTTGGTACATTTATCTCTTGTGAAAATTTGAAAGGGGTATAAGATTTTCCTCCTTCCCATTTAACTACTCCCCTTATTATTACAATGATGACTTACTGTGCCGTGAAGTACTGTCATTTCTTCTTTAAATGACAATGGTCTGACTTCGTGAAACAGGAACATGGTGAGGAGTTCGGAGCCAAGCCACTGCTGTCCGCTGCTGCCCCCTACCGATGGAGGTTCAGCTAGACCAATGATGCGGAACGACGGATGGATTGGTAGAATACCACTAAAAAATGAAAAAAATTAAAACTCAAAAAATCATAAAAATTATCACATAAATATTATGGTAAAATTATCTTAGTTCATGCGCAGCAATTTGGTTTTCGTCATTCAAAATTGGTTTAAAACTTTAAAAATAGTATATCTCTTGGTGACAAAAAAATACCTATTGTCAAGTATACAATGTTTTGTGTTGTTTTAAATTGAATGATCAATTAAATTTTAAAAGCCATATAAATGATATTGAAATAAAAATCTAAAAAAAAATTGGCCATAATATTCATAGCATTATTCATAGCATTAATTTTTATTGCTCTGTTATTATTCCGTTTATTAGTTAATTATTTATTTATTTCAAAAACCACATATTGTAAAACAGCAAACACTTGCCAATAACAGGGTCTCTTAAAATATTTTTTAACAAGCATATAAAATATAACGTAGATATAAATAAAAAACACACATAAAATAGAAACAGGATCACAAGTCACACACACCCACACCTACACACACAAAACTCATCCCCAGCCCAAACCAAATCAGATCAATCATGTAAATGCATGCATTGTAATATTGTCTGGGCTAATAATTATTCTTCTAACCTAAATAAAATATACTGTATTATCTTAAAGGCTGTCCTCCTTATTTCTGGGGCACATTATCTTGCCCACTCTAACAAATTATTTTCTAATCGTCATTTGATAACCATTCATGACATAAATGAACTTCAGCAAAGTTTTTGTTTTTTTTTGTTTATCAAAATATCTATTCTCTTCTTCCCATAAACTTCTCTTGCAATTTTTATTCATAATTCTACAATCCATCCTTATAATAACATGATGCCCAAAGAAATCCACCTTCCCCAGTCCAAACCAACACATCTACAACATAACATCCAGTTTTGTGAATCAAAATTTAGCTCTCTGAAGAAATTTCATCTGCTCCTTCAAAAACTGTGTTTTTTTTTATAATAAATTAAAAACTAATTTCTTCTCATGTCATGATTAATTTTTCATTCATGGGTTTTGTCTTATTCTGTTCTTTTTTTAATGTGTTTTGAAATTTATTATAATCATCGTTTACATTATTTGGCTAGCCCATCACAAGTTTTGATTGATCTTTTCAACCAAATTCACATTTGGGCTGTTGCCTTTCATTGTTAACATGTCAAATTACTATTATTACAGTTATTCCAATATTGCCATTGCTCCATTTCATTTTTTTTAATTGTTTAAATATTTAAGAAAGGATGAAAGAAACAAACGTTGATATTGAATAGTAGTAGTATTGATAGTAGTAATATAAACCGTGTAATGAATACACTTGCTCTTAATCTTATTATAAAAGATACATACCTGCAGATTTCACTTATTTTAAACCTTAATTTGCAGGTATATTACGAATGGAAAAATTACCGTTCTTTCAATTCAGCATCCGTTAGATCATGTTCATCTTTGAGTGCCTCGTAGCGTTCACTGCCAAGCAGACGCGTGCCATCAAACAATGTTATTTCACGATCATGTACTAATCTAAAAAACCAATTGAAAAGTAAATTGTTTTTTTAAATTTTTTTCGAAAAGGTTGCAGAGAAATGTTTGTCCCATGTACTTATCACTGTGCCAGGTCAACTCATGCATAGCGAGGACTCTCAACACATTCACACCAGACATGAAACTCTCACCAGGTTTGAGTCATGCATGGCTTGAGTGCTAGTCTGAATGTAGCCATACACACGCATTCTGATTTAATGGACACTTTCAGAGTTTCAATCGAATTTATTAACTGACAAATTAAAACAGGGTGAGGAATATGAGCTCTCCCACGAACATGTGTTCTCTCACAAGCACCTGATGTTGTCCCACAAACATATTATGTTGTCCCACAAACACATGTGTGTACATACCGTTAATATGCTGTAGTCATGAACTACGGCCAAACGCATTTCACAACAATAACACTGCGAGTTACGTGTTATTCTCCTACCTTTACCTCTACCAATTTTGTTGTTTTTGGGAACTTCGCAAGAATATCCAAGGGGCAGAGCTTAAAGGAAAGGTTACATTATGGGCTAGAAAACAGATTTAAGGTTTAGGTTTATTTATATATTCTATGATTAACCTGAAACCTTGTGGTTATATGATACATTATCTCTGGTTTCCATAAAATTGCTCAGCTGCCGCTACAACATTTTCACTACTGTCCCCCAATGTCATCAGAAAGGCTCCATAATTAACCCGAACAATCAGCATAGCCAAAAGTTGTCGAGGAGAGCGTGTAATGATATGGAAACCAGGATTAATAATCATACATACAGTATCTCCTAATGGGTAGTTATTGTAACAGACAGAGAGAGAGAATGCAGGCTGAATATAGTATTGTCCATACAGACAGACCCATTTATAGGGGTTAATACTATTTTAGAACAAAAATTTAAAAAAATATTTATCAGTCAGAAATTTAAACTTATTAATTTCCTATTTCAAGTTGGGGAATTAATTTAAGAGTGCTGGACAGTGAATCAGACATTTCCTGTCCCAATGTATGTCTTTAAATTGCAATCCTTAGAGTTCCCAAATACAAAACAATTTAGTACTATTTTACTGTTTCAGTCAATTTTTCAGATTAATTATAGCATTTAGTTTAACTATAGTAAAAAATGAATATCTATACTGTAATTACTTTTATCATTATCTCAAAAATTACATATAATATTCAAAATTCTATTTAAATCTTAATTTCTTCATAAACTAAATGCTTCCAATTTCAGTTTAATGTCTGCAGGAATAGGAAATTTGTTTATACTATGATAAATTAGACCAATCATTTAATTAGTAAAAGAATGAAAAAAAAAATTAAATATTATATAATTTTCCATTTTTTAATATCAATTATAATAGCACTGCCATTCACAGAATAAAGCCAAAATACAAGCATTTATTAAAACAAACAAAACCATAAACAAATAAAAATAGGATGGTTTGTTCTTCTAACATACCGATTTAAAACAGCAAGTGTACCTGGGTTGACTCGATGTAGCCCGTCTAGCACTGCTATACTGCCCTCTAGAGCTGCTGTGATAAGTGGTGACGGTCGCCAGGATGTGTCACCTGTTGGTGAGGTCATACGTTGCTGCAGAAAATCTCTAGAGGTCATATCCTGGATAATAAAATTTAATGATATAATAACAATAGCAATCAATGACTCCAACTCTAATTTTAACATATTAAAATGTACTACTGGTATTAGTAAAAAGACAGAAAAATAAGTCAAAAACTTTGAATAGCTTATTTAAAAGAAATGAATAAACTATTAACTTCCAAAGAGAAACAGATCGAAAAAAAGTAGTTTTCACCGATTTACAGACATTTTACAAAAAAAAATATTTAAATTAATTTTAAGGGTCTTTGCAGTTGTAAAAAATCACTATTTTCAGTTAAAATATGGGATTGAATTTTCAAATTTCTATTTATTTATCATTTTAAATTAAATCTTAAGGTAGCCTACCTGACAACAAAGGTTTTTTTTTTTATAGTTTTATTTGGATTGTTTTGGATTTTATTGTATGTATTATTATGTTGCATTAATTAATTTATGTATAGACTATGGATTGCCAATAGTTAGTTTATTTGTATATTTCAGTAGGAGGAAGGATGCAGTACTTTAGTGTAATATTTCAATAACAGAAAGGGAAAAGTATTCTAGTGCAATGTTTGATTTGCAGGAAAAAATGAATTGGGTCAATAGCAGGGAGTGTACAAATATTTCAATAGCAATAGGGTGAAAGTTTCAATACAGGAAGTGTACAAGTGCTCTAATAGCACAAAGGGGGAAAGTGTTTTAATAGCAGGAAGGGTACAAGTATTTTGATAGCAGGAAGGGGGATAGGAAGGGTGAAGTGTTTCAATTGCAGACAGAGGAAGGGGGAAATATTCACTACAGTTTAAAAATAGTAGGAGCAGCGCATTACAAAATATTTTCACTTTTTTCACTCAATTAAATTATATATAATAATAGTATATATGTATATAGATCACTGATACAACTAATTAAATTTCCGTGGTCAAGCATGAATTTATGAATTCAGGTCTGGGCAAACACAGTTGAAAACTTTTCATTGGAATTGAGGATTTTCTAATCTTTGAGTTTTGTTGCATGATTTTGTTGTTTATTTACTATATTTTTGTACTTTTTTATATTTTGTTGTTAACCTACAGTACAGAAATTACCAACATTTGCTCTTGGTTGACTGAAGTTTAGATACATGGTAAATGACTTACCATGTTAATGATGTGTGGAATGATGTAAGCAGCTGCTGAACAGTTCCACTCTAACCACTACACTAGTCACAGATCATGCCAAATTACCTGTATCATGGCGCTGCGAGTTATGAGTTCATATTCTCTGTATCTTTGCATTATCATATTTTTGTTAAGAGCCATAAGGTTGTTTTAACAGGTGTTGCTATGTAAATAAAAAATATTAAATAATAATTTAAGTGATGTAACATTCTCCACAAAAAGTCTATTCCAGCCTACCTGGTATAGCATAACTGGTTCCAGGTGATAGCCTAAGATGCTTGCAAATTGCTTCACTAGTAAACTTTTTCCACAACCCTGAAAAAAATAAATAAAATAAAATCACTCAAATATCAATTACAATAAAGTCAGGAAAGATTCATGGGAGATACTTGTATGTAATGGGAGATGTTCCAACAAAACATGACATAGCCACTAGTAAATATTTTGAGAAAATTAATAATTAAGTAAATCAAGTCTGATACTGATATTTTTACAGATTTAACAGTAGCCAATCTAGGAATTTGAAATCAAGGAGGGACTAAGAAGGACTTTTCAGGATGAAAGGTTTAGACTATTTCAGCCCCACAATGGTTGGGGCTGAGGTTAAAAACTTTATGGCTATAGTACCTCTAGATGACTAGAAATGGCATTGTCAGAATATGAATATAATTTTCCTTTTATTTCTCAAAAATTAGGGGCCATAGCTGACGCTCCCTCTCTCCCAATGGATTCACCTAGAATTAATTTCAACTATCTGCCATTTGATATCTTAACTGTTTCAAAAATTTATTACTTTCACTTATATAGTTAATAATCAGATTTATATTTTTGTTCATTGCTTTGCTATGTATAACAAGATATTAATATTAATTTCCTATTGCCACGTTGTAAAAGAGATAATATCAAGTTGAATATAACTTTTATTAATATTGAAGCATTATCATTGGAAATATTACTCATCATTTCAAGTGCTATTAGCACGCTTTCGCATGATTGTATGACAGATATATTATACTGGTCACGGAAAGTGGATAGCCGCACTCAACTGGATATGGGCGACACACGCCACCTGTTAGATTATCTACAATAACCATATGAAACAACGGGCAAGTTTTTCAAACAATATTTATTCAACACTATTAATGAAATCTGTAATTATCCTGGAAAGCACTTGAACATATTTAATAATATTTAAAGTTTATCATTTATTAGCACGCTTTCGCAAGATTAAATGACAGACATATTATACCGGTCATGGAAAGTAGATAGCCGCACTCGACTGGGTATGAGCGACACACGCCATCTGTTAGATTATCTACGCTACCATATGAAACGGTAAAGTTTTTAAAATAATATTTATTCAAACCATCTGGAAAACAGTGTTCTTTTTTATCGTCAGGAATTTTTATCATAGGCATACAGTATAGCAGCTTACATGTAGCTTATAATTGTTAATTCTATTTTTTTTTTTAAAGAGATTCCCTGTACATGAAAATACTTTATTAAGTTTAATACTACATTCTTAATTCTAAGCAAAGCAATTTTCTTCTGAACATACAGTATTTGTAAAAGTCAGCTGAAATAGCCATGCAAGTTATTAGGCCTATGCTGGGAATACATTTGCGAAATCATGAGTAAAGTAGGAGTTGGCTTTGAAGAATGGTAGCATCTATAACCTACCTTTGGTCCTATGAGGCAGAAATCCTTGACAGAATGCGACAGCATCATGTCCGCTAGTAAATGGTCATGTGACGGCACTGGTATATAACCTACACTTTCAGCTGATGTTGCTACCTGGTTACCTGTTGCCATAGTGACATCAAACATGGCTCCTTGACTTTGCATAGTAACGGTTGCATTTTTATCAGTTGTACTGCACAGTACATTAGATACACTGCATGGAGCTACTTTTCCAAACTTGTCCTCTAGTAACTCAATTTTCTGTGGTCCCTAATTAATAAATGTCTATTATCTTTATTATCCTAATAAATAAAAAAATAATAATTAAAGCATTTATAATGCGCCATATATCCAAAACAATATTGCTCATATGCGCAGTAATTAAAGACCATAGCGGCATATGAGGATGGAAACTCCTGTCTGAAAAGTGGTCTTTTAGGATATATTTTCTGGGGGTGCTGAGCTGTCCGACAGGGGGACTTGAGCTCGTAGGCCCAAGCTGGAGGAGGGTTTGAGAGGGTGTTTCCCCTCCCAAATGAGATTTTTTTTAAAGAATAAGAACCTCTGGATGGCCAGAAATGACGCTCTCAGACTGTGACAGGCGTGTTTTGGCTTGGTGTGGGCCTATTTTTATATTTTTTTTAGTCCGACTGCCCAACGAGCTCTGTCCGATGCGGGGACTTGAGCTGTCCTGTGGGGGGGGGGGGGGTTTAGGCCCCTGCTGTCTCCCCGTTGGCGCTGCCACTGCTCCATTCTCCCTCTTATACCTCCACTTCCACTCACAGGTTCACTATCACAGATAGCTCTACTTTGTCTCTCACCAACAGCTAATGCAACTCTCCACTCTGTCACTCACAGCCCCATTCTCCCTCTTACACCTCCACTCATCATAGATTCACTATCAATGATAGCTCATCTGTACTGCGTCTCTTGCCACAGCTAATGCAACTCTCTTTATGTCAATCACATTGACCCTAGTCTCACTTACAACTGCAACTTAACTCTCATTCCCAGTTCGATTCAATCCCATGAAAAGAAGTTAATATCTACAAACCTTTAGAATATCAATGACGGCTGTTCTACCCTCCTTGGCAAGCATAACCTGGTGTGGATACAACTGATGGAGAACCTTCTGAACAGACACATTTGGTACAGAATTCTACAAAACAATATTGAAAATACATGCTGACCTAGGACTATATAACCAAGTGCACATAAATTAGTTTCAATGATGTCATTCACGTAACACATTTATGGATTTATCCATATTTATTTTGTGTTTTATATATTTTTATGAATGAATAAAGACCTTGAGTATATAAAACAGATTCACAATTATTACAGGAGAAAAAATAAGTAAATTTAACAATCATATTGATTTGTTTTATGTATTTTAATTTTTATAATTAATATTATGTTATACCAATATTTAATAGGATAATTTTTTTGTCGCTTCTACATGTAGCTAACCTAGGATGATCCATCTGAAGCTAGATAAGCAGATCCATTAATTTTTCAAATACGAGGAAAATCTATCAACATTTATACTAGGTTATTTCCACACAGAAGGCATAGCACAAATGAAAATCGCATCTTATCTTCAGAAGACTGGAAACTGGCTGAGGCTATGTTCAGACAGAACGACTTACACTAGCGTAACGTTAATCAAGTGGTGTGAACTTGTGCGCAGCGTAGCGAACGCTGGTATTAACACGCAATCGCTGGTATTAACACGCAATCACTGGCATACAATAATCCAACAGACCCCTGATTAGCTTACGTCATTGAGTTACGACAGTCAATGATTTGAACTTGGTCAGGATTTGACCAATCACAATAAGCCTAGATGTAAACAGGAAATAAAATCCGTGATTGCGTATACAAATATTTTGCACGAATACTTACACAAGCATTACATTATTTTCCCAGGCTGGACATCTCGCTAGTTACGCCATGGATTAACGTACGCCTGGTGTAAGATAGTGTACACCTGGCATTATCTCCCAGGACTGAATGTAGCCTCTGACAGAATTACTCTGATGTCAATGCTGCTGTAATTCCTTTGAATGCTGCTGTCATCATGAGTGTCAATGATAATATTATTATGAGGTTGACATTTTATTAAACTTAATCATAATAAAATGATTCATTAAACAAGTTCAATCATCTTACTATTATCTTGATCATATTAACTAGATTATCCATTGGAAAGTCTGGAAGCCCTAATGAGTTAGACTCGTTGGATATCAAAGTTGTTGCGAAAGACAAGATCTTGGAAGCTCTGAAAAAACAAAAAATAAAGCTTTGGTAGCGTGGCTGAAGATTTTTTAACATGCAATGGACAACATTGCACACAAGACCAATGATTTTAAATGACTCTGCCAAAGTGGAAGACAGTGTGATGGAATAAATCCAGGGTTACATAGACAGAGATCACCATGGTTCAGGGTGCACACGGTGGTTACCACATAACTAAACTGCTCCTCAGAAAAAAAAAAAACCACAATTTACCATCGCCTTTACAGAAATAAGTGCAAGTAGGAAACAAATTAAAATAAGCACTACAGTATTTAAATATATACAGTACTCACAGTACGAGGGAAAAAAATACTGTGCTCCACAACCAAAGGGATATTTAGAAATTAGTGATGGCCGTTTCTGGCCTATACAGTAATTCTAATACTTATACCCAATTCACACGTGAAGTTAAATTTAACAAAAAGTAACAAATTGTAACCGAGCGATCTCCCGAGTTATTCCTACCGAGATAAAAAGCATTCACACGCGTCTGTAAGGTAATGCCAAGGTTGTGTAAAATTTATTCAGTGTTTATTCAATGAACCACTTTCCCCCTACTGCGATATAGGTCTAGCCTAGGCCTAGTTGAGAACCCCTGTCACAGATGGACTGTTGAACTCACCATCACAGTAAACATTCGAAGCAATCAATACCCTTAACAACTGCTGTACTACTGTACTACTACTAGGCCTAGCTTCCGACGTTTCTGTCGACTCTTGATAATACTATTACAACACCATCCCGACGTTCATTTATGTATATCTTCTTCTTCTACCATTACTAATTAACATCAATAACAAGGGTAATGCATT